CCTAGTAAATGTTACCCATAGTGGGTAGTAAAACTGTTCAGTGTCCAAATATTCTCCCAGACTACTAAATATACTGTAGATGGCAAAAAGTGTATATCCATTCCATCCCCGCTTCCTCTCCTTCCTATAACTTATCACAGGACTATAAACCTTCGTGTCCAAAATTTAGCATTTTGTTGAGCCCTTTGTAGGATTGTCTTGCAGTCCAAAAAAGGCTTGTGTTTATGGGTAGGTTGATTGTTTGATTGATTGCTTTTAATTTGATCAGCAATTCATCTTTATATTTACTTTGTAAATTTTACATTGCTTCATAAAGAATCGTGAGTTAGAATCCAAACTAATTAATCAACCCCTCTCCTTAAAATGCCACATACTTTGAAATGTGCCTTCTTCCTCCACCCTCTCCGGCTTCTTCTAGGACAAGCAGCCAAATTTAGAAACAAGGGAAAGTATTGATGCCTTTTATGTCGCTATCATCAATGACCTTGGTGAAAGATGTATAAAAGCCAGGAACAGCAGAATCTCCTTAGTTGGTCCTTTTCTTGCCAGGGTAGGTATTAACCTCTCTTCTTTCTGAAGATATATGAGTATATTTTGAACCTGCTGTCCTATAAAGTTTGATTGGTATTGTATGTTTTTCTGCTAAGAGATAAAGTTTTAGCTACATAAACAGGGAATATTGTTTTAGTAGTACTGACCTGCTGCCAATAATGTATAGATTAGATACACTAAATGCTTAATGTTTTGAAAGGAGATTGAGATCTGTGTTATATTAAAGATGGACTGATAAATTTTTAGTTATATTTTCTATTTTTCCAACTATCATTGGAACTCATTCTGTAACATGGTTTAAACAGATTGTGGATTGAGATTAAGTCAGATTAAGTCAGATGGAATCCTTTAGAAATGCATAATTTAAACCAATTCTTATTGCAGATGAGAATATATTAATCATTGCAGTGGTATACAGCTATTGGTTGGGATTTTTCTTTGGTTTGTATTCTTGGTTTTATTCATAATACTCTTCTTTTTAACTTTCCAATATTTCAGATTTTTAAAATATAAACATTATTTTATTTCCCTTTATTTTATTTTAAACAGGCAGTACTAATTTGCAACACAGACTAGAATTCTATTTCCTCTTATGTTTAACATTACTTAGTATTTCTGTCCAATGTTTGTCCAGGAATTACATCCTATTGCCATGATTTGTGTATCACATTATGAGACTTTTCTGAAATAGTCTAATACTTGAAGACTATAGAATATCTCAACAGATGAAAAATCCAGTGTGGAAAAGATTATTCCTATTATTTCCAATCTTAATAGCTGAAAATTCATAAAGATTACTCAGACTTTCTGTCTTGGGATAAAAATCTTGATATAGTGGTCCTCATTTCCAAGTATATCATTTTAGGATTCTATAGTGAAGATCTGATACATTAATACTTTTAGCTCCGAGTCAGTGCTAACATATAAAAAAAAACCTGGAGAGATTTCTTGTCACTAATAATATGAAATTACAAGCAGAGGTCAATTGCATTAAATGTAGTTTTCAGTGAATGAGACATTTGTTATACACAAAAGTAACTCCTTACCTTCCACATTTTTTTAACAAAGGCTTTCTTTTTGATAAATATTATAAGAGTGTACAAAATTAAGCAGACATGATAGGAATTACCAACAAGAAGGTATTATGTCAGATGTATAAACATTAAATAATAAATAAGAACGAATGTTGATTATTCTTTTGAATGTCTATTTTTAAGAGGAACTAATCAGGGATGGCTATTAACATCCTTCTGTTTAATTTATTTACAAAAACATTAACATTAGCAACATCCAAAAAGTAATATAAAGGTCAAAGATTAATATAATACGTTTACCCATATTTGTTATATTTACACCGGGTTTGAGACAAATTTAGGAGTCAGATTTAGGCAAGGCAGTCAATGGTGTCATATGACACTCGGGGAATTCTTATATGTTTCAAGGCAGGAATTATATTGTAAGACTTTACACTTTGTTATTTAATTCCTATAGGAATCCTATATAAAATAAAATACATAATTATAAAATAGGTGTGGTGTGTTATAATAAAAAAGGGCTCTTTTCCATTTTAGGTGGAAATGCAGTAAAGCCTCAAAATTTTGAGGGTAGATCTTTGACAAAATAATAGCAATAACAATGAATGAATTCCTACCAAATTTAAACATATTATATATAGTATATTTGATGGATTTTACAAGGCAAAAATAATATTGTTTCCTGCTTCTAGCAGCAAAGTTAATTTTCATGGTTATTGAAATATTTGCAGTTATTTTTGCTTGAAAAATGATTTAATAAGGTGATCTATTGCTCTGCTTGAGAAGTGGAAATAATTATTGCATAGAAATTGGCAGAATTTTATCAGTTTTATAAATAGCAAAATTAATACTCACCTAAAAATGGAAAATTTAAATTTAAATGAGCTGATGCAAGAATATAGATACTATTCCATTTTGCATAATAAAACAATGTAATAATACCATTTCGAATAGCAGAAATTTTATTTATTAAATCTTCTTTTCACTCATAATGGTTTCAGATCAGGTCCTTTTAATAAATACCAGAGCTTCTGTTATTACTTTCATTTTTGAAATGTGCACAGCCCTAGTATTCATGTTTAGTGTAAAATAAACAAAAATTCCTGGCCTGGTTGCTTTGAAGATGAATGAAGGAATGTGAATGAAGGAATGAATTCTATTGATACCACCATTCATTAATAATGGAGAAAAATCATATATTTAAAAGATTGCAGTATTACCTTTTATTCAAATTCATAGTTGTAATTCAGTGTGAGTTTCTAAATCCCAAGTTATCTTTACATTCAAACTTTGAGGAAAAAAATAAGCAACATGCCCTATGACTAGTTCATTTTGTATAATAAGTCTTCTCGTATTTGAGCCTTCTCAAAACCTGTAACAGTTTATGGTCCTATTTAATCTTTTGGCAGTTTTCCCTTTATCCTAGCAAAATGTTACAAGATTTCTGTGTTCACTGCGAGAAGAAGGAAATACCATTCCTTTTTTGTAATCCACTCAGAGAACAGTAATAATTAGAAATGATAATGGTCCATGAGCAATTATATACTAAATGTCACAATCTCTCCAAGGAATTTTTCCATTAACTCTACAAGAAATCTGAAGAACAAAAGGTATTTGATTTACTAAATATGGAGTATGCATTATTTTATTTAAGACAAAGAATATATAAACCATATATGCATATACATACATAAAATATATAAACATACCAAGAACAGGAAAAGAATTATCCAACAGTCACACTGCATATTGACAATATCAGCTCTTATTGAATAGATAGAAATAAAGGGTGAAATAGTAACAATCTAGAAAGCAAAACTAAAAAAAAAAACCTTTAAACCATCTCTTTATATTTTATTTTATTTATTAAATTTATATAGACAAATGTGACTCTAGGCAGTATATCCTTATTCATCATACTGTTTTGTTTTATATCTGAAGTTCTATTTGCTATCTGAAAATGTCATATTACCTAGGACCAAGTGCCACTGAATTCACTGGGACTTAAGTACAAATAAATCAGTTTAGATTGGATTGGCAATGTATTTAACATTATTTATTTGGTAGTAATAATTGTACTGAAAGGGATTTTTGTTCATTTATATGACTATTTTTACTCCCAAACCTCTACCATATTTCATAATGATTCCTTGCTTCATTAAGGGGAATATTGATTTTATTTTGAAAAAAAATGAAACCACTATGATGAGTAGCTCTAGTTTTCAACCTAAGAAAATTCAAATGTGACTTTAAATAGTTATATTTTTTGTTGAATTTACTTACTTGTTTTAAAAACTGTAATCCTTGAAATCCAAAAATCTTGAACACTATTCTGCCTGTTTCAGTTGTTTGTGACTAGCAGTTAGCTATGTTGCTATCAATCTGAATAAATAGTCCTGAACTAAATGGTCTGATTTAATATGGCAAGATTGGGTGCCAAAATCAGCCTCCTTAACTCCTACAATCTCCAGCTGGCAGAATTAGTAAGCAATTATAACAGTTGTAATATCAATATATTTGGAGGTACTAAGATTTGTTGGGAGTAGAACAGGAGTGGGAAGCTGAATTCTCCAGAGGGGGAATATGCCTCTTCAAGGTTAGCCAATAATTGTTGTTTTTAGTTCATATTTTGAAGTGCCCTGAAATTTTCACATTATGTCACAATAGTGGGACATAAATAGCTTTTAAAAATTTATCAGAAAATCGTTGTGTATTAGGTACAACGTAGTGTCCATGTCAGAAATAATGTTTCCAGAGATTAAGTCTGATCATTATTTTTCTATTCCCTAAAAATGTAATGCTGGGTGAAAATGTTCCAAATGAATCATTTGAACCTGAAAAAAGGAAACTAATCATCATCATCATCTGAATGTGTATAGAATCAGTTATGTGCATAATCAAATAAGTACTACTGAACTATTGTGAGCAGTCCTATAGAAACCAGAACAAAAGAAACATTTAAAAAATGTTGCAGTGTGCTTCCAAATTTATTAATTAACTTGCTCAATGTATGTCCCACTTTTTCATTATGAACACAATGTAGAATTTGTGGTAAATCCTTATCTAGTATTGTTCCACAATAATAATCCAGCAAAGGAAACTGGCTGAAAGCCAAAGGTTAGGCCAAGGGCAACTGGTTAGTTTTCTTTCTTGAAGAGGAATTTTAATCTTGATGTCACCAGCCTTAGTTCAATATTTTAATTTAAAATTGTTATTTCAACTAAAAAGCATATTCCTTTTCTATGATTTAGTGCCCTGCTACTTTAGCAGGAATGATTTTTCTGATGCAAATGTATCTCTTAATCTCAATAATATATGCGTTTTCTCTTTATTTGTTCAGGGTCTATGTTGGAAAATTGAAAATATGTTACTGACTTTGAGTTTGTCATTTTATCTTTGTAGGCTAGTTTGCTTCGTTTTTCTTTTGTGAGCATATATCCTTCACTTTGTTTGCCAAGATGATGGACATGTCAGAGTTCGGGGAAGCTGCACCTTTCCTTCGAAAAAGTGACAAGGAAATCATGTTGTTGCAGACAGTGGCCTTTGATGGTAAGATATAATATGATATAATATGATTATTCTGCCCATCATTTCTGGTAAAGCAGATACCTGATCGGATATAATAAAATTGAAAGTTCTGATATAAAAGGTACACTGTAGGTCTGAACATGGATTTTAGCCCTTTTGCTCTCCTGGAAAAAAATATTCTGGTTGAATCTCAGAATCACACTAGTTATATCAGGCAAAGTTTATAACAGCAGGTGAGGACCAATTATTTGTTGGCTTGTTTTATATATGAATAAACTATCCTCTTTGAGGTAAAGAAAACATTTGGCTGTGGAATTCTGGGAACTGAAGCCCACCCATCTTAAAATTGTCTTATCTGAATATATTTTGTAGGCATTACTTGATCTATGAAATGGAATGAAATGGTTTAGAGAAAGCAAGCAGCCTAAGTACTGCTAAGAGAACACTGTATAATATACAGCTGTTGCTGTTATTTGACAATTTTAAGTATTTAGCATGCTTGTATAATGACAAAAATGTCTTCCTTTTCAAGGAAAGAAGAAATGTTGGATTCCTGATGAAAAGAAAGCATACATTGAAGCAGAAATCAAAGAGAGTGGTGGTGGCAAAGTTACTGTGGAGACAGCAGATGGGAAAGTAAGGAACCTTCTCTGCTTGATAGGTCACAAGTGCAAGGCCTATAAGACAGAGAAACAACAAGCCAATGTAAACTGTTGGTCCAGAGACACTTTAACAATAAGGTCAATTAATCCAAGACAAAAAAGAAATGGCCCATATAGCTGGAGATTGCCTTTATATTTTTATGTCTTTCTGCCTGTCTATCCATCCATCCACATCCATCCATCCATCCACCCATCATCCACCCATCCATCCATCCAACATACTTCAATGTTGACTGCTGGTGACTGTCTAGACAAGTCCCTATGATTTTCTTGGCAAGAAATTGCCTTCTTCACAGGGCTGAGAGTGATTGGTTACTTAGCTGAATTTGTGTGCCTAAAATGGGCCTAGAAATAATTGTCTCCTGGATTATAGCATGATGTCTTATCCCCTCATCACATTTGTTCATATATCTACTGTAGTACATAAATATAAGTCCTTTTAAAAAGAGTGAAGCAGTTTATCCTTATCCTGCAGGGACAACCATTGTAGCAACTTGAAAAAAGCCCTCTACAAATACATGCACATCTTTGGATCTGAGGCTTTGGGCTGATCATGTATAAGGCTAGCTGCATAAGAGTAATTATATAAAGATGGGCCATATCTCAGTTGCAGAGGTGGTATTCAGCAGGTTCTGATCAGTTCTGGAGAACCGGCAAATACCACCTCTGACTGGCCCTGCCTCCTGAGTCACAGCTGATTGGTTGGGTCTTCTTTTGTTGCCCTGCACAGAAGAACGGAGCTGGAAAGCAGGTTAGTAGGGTGGGAAGGGAATGGGGATTTTACAGTATTCTTCCCCTGCCATGCCCACCAAGCCACGCCAGTAGTAAATATTTTTGAATCCCACCACTGCTCAGTTGATGTATGTAGTTCAGTATAAAGATGGGTGGGTGGTTTATAGGAGATTCCTAGTGTTGTAGAAACAATAATACATTTTTATGCTGCTATCTTTGGAAGGAATCAGAGTGGGCATATATGGAGAGCCTGTGGAGGCTCTGACTTAAACTTCTCTTTCCAATCTTGGTTAAGCTGCAGTATTTATGGCAGTTCTGAATATTCTCAGAGGCAATGGGCAACAAAGCCTTAACTCTTTTATGTCACATGCATGAATACAAAGCAACTGAGTATAAGCAGAGTAGAATAAAAAGATCTGAGTTTACAAAATGTAAAAACACAAACCAACGATAGAGATAGATTTTGTAATTCTCTGTACATTGTCCAAAAAGCATTGCAAACAATCTTAAAGAACTTCAGCAATCAATACCTGCTTTAATAATTGTTCGGTTGTTTGGAATGTTTTTAAATAAGCATGCTTCTTTCATAGGTTTTTAAATGTTTCGTAGGTTTTTAAATGTTTTCATTCATGAAATATGCTTTCCAGTGATTGAAATTTAACTTTGAATATAATTTACAGACTCCTATGTCAAATGACTTTTAATTTATTCTTAGATGGTCAGCATCATTACTAATACCTGAAAACCTCAAATCTGCTATTATTATTTGAATTTCTGCTCCATATTTTATAAAACAAAATTACAAACCTACTATTTTCTATTTGATAATCAGATGTTCCAAGTGATATTGGTACAAGACTGTGCTGAAGTTGCATTTGTTAATAATGTATACTTGGGAATAATCTTTAATAATGTCCTTTTGTAGTGAGGCTACCATATCCACAAAGATCAAAAAATACAAAATTATTCACAACAGTTAAGTGGCCTTGAAAATAGTAGAAAATGGTTAAACTTCAGCAAACTTGCTAAAATTGACCTGTTTATTAGGAAAGAAACAATGACTACTTTTATAAAAAGACCAGAAACCTTTTGTGGGCTTTTTCCTGAAAATGGACAAAAATGCATTGTTGATTCTGGGGAAAAGGTTGTTTGGGGGAAAAGGAACATGTTATGTCATTTGGGGGGGTGGAAACAGTAATAATTATATTTGTAACTGCTGCAAAAATCAGATTTCACTTATTTAGATATTTTTCTTTCTCCCCCCCCCCCCATGTTTGATTTTTTTTCAATTTTTGTCCTATTATCCAGCCAGCCAGCTATCTAGCTAGCTACCTGAAAATCTGTTTGGTGTAATGATTAAGGCATGAGGCAAAGCCACCTGAGTGATCTTGTGTCAATCCCTTTTATCTCAAATTTAGGAAAGAGGCAATTGCAAACCACTTCTAAGAAGCCTTGTCCTGGAATCTCTAAGAATCAGACACAACTAAATGGAAGATAGAGATATACATAAATACCTTTCAAATTAATAATAATGGGAAAGAGAATGCATCCAATTAAAAGTTCCTTTCTTTTTTTGCAGACTGTTACTGTAAAAGAAGATGATGTTCAGCAGATGAACCCTCCAAAGTTTGACATGATTGAAGATATGGCTATGTTGACCCACCTAAATGAAGCTTCTGTGCTATATAATTTGTATAGACGCTACTCTAACTGGATGATTTATGTATGATTTCTTTACTTTGTCATCTTAAAATGTGCTATTTGAATAACATATTTTTGTAGAAGAAAATGCCTTAATGTTTTTCTTAAAGAATTGTTCAGGAATTATTTTTATGAAATATTTTTGTGATACATTCTTCTATTTAATTTAGCAATATTGTGAACTTTCTCCTTATCAGCCTATTTAACGGACAACAATTTGGGGAAGGCTGTTTCCAAAATAGAAGAAAGCAAATGCATTAGGCTCAGTAGAGACAATGGATACTATGTTTTGGATCAAGGATGTTGGAAAAGATTCCTCAATAAATTAAATTATTTTTCATTACATCTTTTTATTCTGAAGAATTTCTAAAGAGAGAGATGTGTGTAAATATAGCAACTGAAAGTAGTATTGTCTTAAGGCAAAGTTGTGCAATCTGCAACCTACAGACCTCTGAAGTTCTTGTGGGCCCAAGAACTCTCTCCTCAGCTGGCTGTTGAAATTAAGCTTATTAATAATTATAAAGTTGTCTGAAGATTATTTAAATTATGTTTAAAAAGATGTTTCTTTGTTTAGTTGCATAGATTTTTAATATGTTGCATTTATTTTAGATTTTTAACCCACCTTTATTATTTTTATAAATAAGTCAAAATGGTGAATATACCAAATACGCCTTCCTGCTCTTTTCCCCCAACAACAACAACAACAACAACAACCCTGTGAAGTGAGCTGGGATGAGAGAGGTGGACTGCCCAAAGTCACCCAGATGCTTTCACGGCAAATGCAAAACTGGAACTCACAGTCTCCTGGTTTCTAGCCTTTACTAGACCTAACTTAAGAATGTTAGCAGATTTTTGTATTTATTTTATTAGATATCCACTTTTATACCCTTACTCCTTCTGACATGAAGAGACAATTCTACTAACAATAAAATCCTCCTAGATCAATATGATATCAATTCTTAATACTATACCGGCAGGATCATTCTATTCTTATTAAAAATTCTTTTCATTTCTAGACTTACTCAGGCCTCTTCTGTGTGACAATAAACCCTTACAAATGGCTTCCTGTCTACAAAACAGAAGTAGTTTCTGCTTACAAGGGGAAGAGACGCTCAGAGGCTCCTCCCCACATCTTCTCCATTGCAGATAATGCATATCATGATATGTTGCGTAGTAAGTAAATCTATTTGATCACAATTCTTTTTAAAAGTTATGTGTATGTGTACTTGTAGCCTCAAGTGATCCCCAGATCAGCTTATTAACATTTGATGACAAATCACCAATATACAGCAGTACAGTTTTTAGTTAATATAATGTAGGTGTCGACTCAGTTCCTTAATTTACTTTTTTTAAAAAAGTTGTACAGAATGGAATCAAAGTTTCAACTGTGACCTTTCTAGTGGTGTCATCTTCTTTCTGGCTTACAAATACTTTTTTTAAAAAAGCATATTCTACACTGAAAAGCATATTATGCTTTCTAAAAGATTTTTAGAAAGATCTCTTATTTAGTAGAAAATGTCTGATTTGAAATTACCTTTATTTATTGATTTGATTATCTATGGATTTTATATGCTGCTCCAATTAGAGACATTTTTAAGCAGTGTATATTCCATGATCCATTAATTAGATTAAAACAAAGCCAGAAATATGGAGAAACTAAAAGAAAAGCAAAACAATCCAATATAACAATAAAATCTTAGTACTATGAATCTTAGTACTATACCATCAGGATAATTCAAGTATCCTTCAATCCTCAAAATGTTTTGGAAAAGCAAGGTCTGAAAGAAATGGACTACATATTTCAAGGGCTATGTTGTTCCCAAGAGTGAGTACAATACAGAGAAGGCCAATCCCTGAAGTTCTTGGTGTTAGCATTTTAGCATCTGAAGTTAGGAGCTTCAGCAAATTCTTACTAGATTTCATAAGTCAGGCATATTGATGTAAGGTAGTCCTGCATTGTAGATCCATAAAGAGATTCAAAGAAAAATGATTGTATCAAATTATTGTTGTATACAATTGTATTTTTGGATACAATTATTTGGAAACCTGCTCACAGTCAATGCAACTCCAAAAGTGCTAGTGTCACATATGACAAACAAAATAGATGCCATCATAACTTGAGCCAGTCATTTTGGATCTTCAAAATCTTCAAAGGAGCCTGATGGCCAGTTGCAATAATCTAACTGTGATGAAGCCTCAGCCCATAGTAACAGATGGTGACGCTTCACCCAGTGAATTCATAGATATGTTAAATTGGAGAAATCAGAGGGTTGATTCCTTAGGCATGCCACAATGTTAAGGTACTAGATAAAAAGTGAAGGATCTAAAAGTATAAGAATTATGATTCTTAGCTTCATTCACCTTTGGGACATTAAATCTATGTTGCATTTAGTTGAGTTAAATTCAAATACATATGTATGATTATCACCAACTCAGATCAACCTCCCGCATGGCTGCAATGATCATAATCTAAACTTGACAATTGCACATTTTGGTACATTAGATTTCTTCCATCAGAGGGCACTAGTGATGCATGCTTAACATCCGGGATAGAATATCTGCACTGTTTTCAGCATTCAAGAATATTACCATACAAGGTTTACAGACTATAATTGTGTACAGCAATTTAAAGAGCAGTATGGTACAAACGGATACTTTCTTTATTCACACTAGAAGTCCATAATATGCTAAATAATATGTTATACATTATAAAAATGTATGTTGAATAATATACACAAAAGCCAAATGAAATCTGTAGTTCTTCAGGCCCTAATAATATATTTTACAGACTTGTATAATTATCTTGTATTTAAATATGGACTGCCTCTACTTTAAAAGGCATGATTATTGTTATAAGGCAAAAATAAGGCCTAGTTTGACTTAATCTCTTAAACTCGGTTATTTATTTAATAATATTTATAGATCACACCAATTCTTTTTTTTTTTTTTTGGAGTAATTTTTGTAAAAAAAAAAAGCATAGTGAGAAGATTCTAGTCCTCAGGGATTCAAGATCAGTGGTTTTCAACCTGTGGTCCAAGACTGTGGAGGTTTGCAAAGACTTGAAGAAATCTTACACTTAAATATAGAATTAAGTCTTGGGCATCTATGACCACAAAAGATATTTAAAGGGGTTAGGTTTAGAGCTAGGGTTGCTGGTGAAGAAAAGGTTGAGAACTATTGCTTTAGATGATTAACAACTAAGCAAAAAACACAGTTGAAGTATTCTTAAAATTGTTAGTACAATTCTAAAAATTCCTATGACTAATGCATTCAGGCAAAGGTCAAAAGTATATTGGAATAATATGGTTTTTCCTGATTTACTTATTTCTGAAATGAAATTGAATGTACTTCAGGGATACACTCCTATAACAGTGTTCTACCAAGTTATAGGCATCTCTTAATGGTGGTCTTAACAAGCCCTCCCTAGATGTTTGGATTTCATAGGCAGATTCCATTCTAGTAAGGCTCTGCCTAATATATTTCACTGTTGAGCATTTGAAGTTTTGAAGGTAAAAGTAGCACTTTGAGCTGACCTACTGGAAACCTACTAGTAAACAACACAATGACATTAAAACTGGTGTTATTCTGTACTGCTCTCCTCTCAGCAGCATGGCCCTCATAGATTCTATCAGCTGCAGCTTCTGAGTCATCTTCAAAGGTGCTTCAATGTACAGTGCATTACAATAATCCAACCAAATGGTGATCAGGGATTCATCACCACTTGGTTGGATTATTGTAATGCAGTATTATTAGTAGCATACCAGTCAGAGTTGGGCAAAGAACCCATAACCAAAGTTTCATTCCAACTGCTAGAACAAGAACTGAGTATCTAGGAGCACCCCTCAAGTCATGAAACACTTTGGATTTTCTAATTATTTATAAATGAATAGCAACTCTTGGCATAATTTAAGTCATAAGAAGTGACTCTGGGCACCATCAACAATGAACAGTTCAATTGTACAGCTATTCAGGATTTCAATGGAATTTCCAGCTCAGTCAGAGGTGGCAATGTGTAACAAGGTATCATCAGCGTATTGATATTTCATCCCAAAGTGGTGGATGACATGTAAATGTTCATTAACATAAAGGACAGCCTTAAGCTCTATGGAACCCCACATTACTTGTACTCTACACTATCACCAGAAACGGATACAAATGGAACAGAACAGGCCATCCAATTTCTAAATTCTGAAGAATACCATAGTGAATTATAGTGAATGCTGCTGACAACTACCATTCACTGGAGCAGAGGTGTCAAACTCAAGGCCCAAGAGCCAGAATTGGCCCACGAGGTGCTTAGATCTGGCCCATGGGGCCACTCTAGAAACAGTGAAGGACCAGCCCATGGTACTTCTGCCAGCAAAAATGGAGCTCGCCCCTCCCAAACTCTGTTTTCACTGGCAGAGGGTTGCAGAATGCCGTCGCAACCGAAAACAGAGCTCGGGAGCTCATTTTCACTGGCAGAGCACTCGGGGCAACACAGCTGCCCCCTAAACAAGTAACATTGAGCTGGCCACACCCACCCTGGCCACACTCACCCCAAAGTCAAACACAACTCTGATGTGGCCCTCAATGAAATCGAGTTTGACATCCCTGCACTAGAGCAACCGAAGCCATTTTTATTTATTGATGATCAGGATGATACATTTTCCTTTAGGATTCTCTGTAGTAAATTCTTTTTTACAAGAAATGTCCTAAAATATATATTTTAAAAATAAGCATTTCCCAATAATAATCTATGAGGAGAAAATGCTGTTGATGTTTTTTTTTTCTCTTACTCATAGATCGAGAGAACCAATCAATGCTGATTACGTAAGTGGCTCTTCTCAAATTCTTTATATTAAAAAATTACTTTTCTAGTTTCTAGCATTTTTAGCAGAACATGCACATCTAGAGAAACCTAATTTTGTTGATTGCTAAACCTTTCCATTTTGGCATACAGTTAATTTTGCCCTTATGTTCTGAAAGCAACTTTGGTTTGTATGAAAGCTTTTTATCAAGATTACCTTAAGTCATAAATCTGGAAGATTTCAAACAGATTGTCCTAGTATTCCTTCCCAACATGAATGAACTGTAGATTTAAATGGATTTTGTTTGAGAAGTACTTTTAGAACATATTAAAAACTATGCTGAATTAAGATCAATTTTTTGATCAAGATCAAGATTTTATTCTAGTACCTTATTTGCTACAGGGCCCAATTAAAAGCATCACATCAACAGCCTTTACCTGATGCTGCTCATTGACAACTTTTATTCAATGGCATATTGGCTATGAGCTAGCATCATTACCATTACCTATGGAAAGTCTTATCCTCAATATTGGATGAACTTCCCTCTTTTCTTTAGTGTTCTATGTCTGGAATGCAATTATAGGGATAACCACTAGATGGCAGCAGAGTTCTCAGTGTCTCTTTTCTGCCACATAGAGGTCATCTAGTTTATTGTAACCAAATTCTGGTAGTCCCATTTTTCTATAAACATTCATTGAAAGAACCCTTTTTTAAGGGAAAGATGGCTGAGTCTCATTACAAAAAGATTAATGTTCAAGTTGTATTTTCTTGTAAATTAAAATGTTGAGATGCTATCATCTTTCTTTTGTTTACAGTGGAGAATCTGGTGCTGGCAAAACTGTGAACACAAAACGTGTCATTCAGTATTTTGCCACCGTTGCAGCAATTGGTGAACCTGGGAAAAAAAATGTAAATAAAAATGACATTTACTTTGTATAAACAATGACTACCCAGTCACAAATACCATGATAATTACCTATGATGTTTTAAAGAACTTCCAAGTATAAAAATACCAGGAATATTTTCTCCAGTGAGTTTAACCTATCTAAAAGTTTGTACCTTTGTTACAATAGTTATGACTGGGATTCAGGTATAGTCAGGGGTGGGATTCTGCCAGTTCGCACCTATTCTCTACAACTGGTTGTTAACATTCTAAGCAGTTCGGAGAACTGGTTGTTAGAAGAAATTACTGGCCTAATCCTGTAAGGAAGGCAGGAAGGAAACATTCAGGTGTTGCTTACAGAAACTGCCTCTCCACTAACCCTTATTACATTCTTGGCAGGACTAGACTTCCTGTCTCAGGAACTTCTCTGGAGTTTTTTTCCCCTCCTTTGCTGGTACTTTGCTTGTGGAGTGACCATTCAAAGTTACAATGGCACTGAAAAAAGTGACTTATGACCATTTTCCCCACTTACGACTGTTGCAGCATCCCCACAATCATGAGAGGCCAGGCTAGGAGATTCGTGCCTCAATGTGAGAGATATTGAATTGGCCACACCCAGCCAATAACATGACCACCAAGCCACACCTAGCCAGTCACATGACCACCAAGCCACTAAGCCACGCCCACAGAACCAGTTGTTAAAAATTTGAATTCCACCCCTGGGTATAGCTTATAGGTATATTAAATATTCCCTCTCTCCATCTCTTTCTCCCCTTTCTCTCTTTCTCATGCTTTTTCAAGAGACAATTGGACTTTCTTGTTTTTCTTTGAAGACGTTTTGCTTCTCATCCAAGAAGCTTCTTCAGCTCTGACTGGATGGTGAGGAACTGAAGGAATGAAGAATATAAATCCTTCCATTCCCTACTATCCAGTCGGAACTGAAAAAGCTTCTTGGATGAAAAGCTAAATGTCTTCAAACAAAAATAAGTAAGTCCAGTTGCCTCTTGAAAAAGTACCTTTGGGAAATCCATGACCTGGATGACTGAGAATCTCCATAGAGACACTCTCTCAGCTTCTCCCAAATAGTGTTGAAAATGATAATTTTCCAAGGCAGCTATGAATTTCTAAGATATTTCCTATACCCTCTTTCAGACAAAAGAGGAATGATTATAAAAGTTAGTTAAAATTTGCAATATAAAATGCGTCTGACCGAGGGGAAAAACACTGCTGTTTTGTTTTTTTACAACATATATTTTTAGTATTCTCCTAGTGGAATAGGTATGCTTTGCCATGAATTATACAGGGGATAAAACAGCTCCTTCAGGTGGGACAAGACATGAACAAAGTTAACTGGTATATGTTGAACAAGTAACTGAAGCATTGGTCTGATTTTTGGTGATCAGGACAGGATTAATAGTTTTGAGAGAACAATCAGTAGTAATCAATCCATGCTGCAGAAACTAAATCTATACCTAGGTAACATTTCTTGATTAAAAACAAGAATCTTAGAATTAAAATCATATTGTGTCACATATCAAAATGAATTGTAAAACAAATACCTAGTAAAATCACAACTGGAATGGATTGATAGATGAATATATGTTCTTGTTTTTTTCTTCAATTTTGTTTTTATCTTTTGTTTTAAACAGCAGCCAGCCACCAAGACTGGGGTAAGATATCTACATTTGATTTTGTGCTATCAAACTGTTATCAACTCTTAGTTACCACATAGTGACTGTGCATATAGTCATCTATATTACCAAAAGTTAATCCAAACATTTTCTGAAGTTTAGAAGTCATGTATGCTGTAATGTTAGTGCTTCAAAATGTAAGTATTAGTTTGCATTCATTCATTTATTGAATTATAACTGCAGTAAATGTAAGAGGAACACATGATTCACAACCCTTCCATATTGTGTTTTTTCCATTTTTAAAAATTATTTATTTGAGGTAGCATCTCACCTCAACGGGACTGTCCTGCCCCCCTGCACTGGCAGAGCGGGCATATTGAGGATTGTGACGGTCAAGGAACTTTGGCTGGTGGGGTCCAGGAGAAGAACCTTCTCTGTGGTGGCTCCTGTTCTTAGGAATATCTTACCTCCTGAGATTAAATTGTCTCCCAGTCCTCTGACTTTTTGTAAGAGCCTTAAAACCTGATTCTGCCAGATGGCTTGGGATACTAATGGGGAACTTCAGACTGGAAGTGGTTGACTAATTAAAAGCTAATCCCAAATCCCCTCCCCCAACTATCTGGCTCCCCTCTTTTCCATATCGTGTTAATGGTTTTATTTTGCTTGTCATTTTATATTGGAATTTTTTAAATATTTTCAAATGTTTAACATAATGTAATGTTATGTTGCAAGCCACCAAAAGTCATCTGAAATGAGATGGGTGGCAAAAAAATTCTAACAAATCAATAAATACAAAAAAAATATCTTAGATGCAGGGAAGGATGGAATTGTTCTGTAATGCTAAGCCAATATAATATAGGACATCTGACCAAGTACAGAAATTTCAGCTTCTTCATCATAGAATTCACTGGCTGACCTTGGGACAGTCATTTTCACTCCATCCAAACAGGTTGTGAATATGAAATGGGAGAAAGATCTCCTATGTCAACTTCCTTGAGCTTCCAGAATAAAGGATTAGCAATTGTCCATGTAAAAGCTATTCTGCAGTTCTGTCCACATCTTAACCCTGATTTAATTGTTCTGTCTGAATATCTGGACTTTTGTATATTCTTTGCATAGTGTTGCATTCTTCTGGTTTATCAAGGTGAAGCCAGAAATTGGGTATATGGTTACATTCTAAAGGTACTTAATTTTTTTGCATTGTAAGGGAACCCTGGAAGATCAAATCATCCAAGCCAACCCAGCTTTGGAAGCTTTTGGGAATGCCAAAACTTTGAGAAATGACAACTCTTCACGTTTTGTAAGTAGCATTTCTAACTATGGAACATTGCCATCTTGCATTATTATGTTCATAAAATAAAAGCAGAAATTGAATTACATTTAAATCAGTTTTTTAATAGTACTGTATTCCTTGATTAAGTTATTGGATGGTTTTTTTACAAGTAATGTCAACAGCTGTTCTGCTGTTACTTATTACAACATTTGGCATAGAAATTGTACCGTCTTGGGATTTTATCAACAACTTGGCAAGCTAAAGCATAAGCAAAGAGGACTTGATTTATTCAGGTTTTCCTGCTATAAACATGGCAGAAAAAATGGTGTTTAGAAATGGCCCAGAGGGAATTCAGGTCAAGAATTTTATACAAGAACTTTTCTAGCCTCATCAAATCCAGCCAATGATTTTTTTTTCTTTTTATGAACCTGTAATCCCTTTTACGAAAATGGAGTTGAAGCAACTGAATGGAACTGAGCGTTTACTGGCTGGATTCCCTCCCTTATGCCTACATAGAGTTCACAGCAGATATTTGCTCTTTGTGTCCTGATAAAGAAACATCTATTGACACTTAGGATTGAACTCTCAACCTCCTAAGTGTAAGGCCACTGCACCACTCAAATCTGTGATAATTATCCTAAATCAGAACATAGTACTAAAAGTTTCTGGTTCCCGCATAGGGAATCATTTCCTTTGGCAATATTCTTCCCTTTCTGAGCTCTATCTTTCATCTTACCGCTGCCAATACTCTCACGTGCTTGGAGGATATACTCTTTAATCAGAAACACACCCTAGAACCACAGAGTTTAAGTATATGGAGTTGGCCCTCCCAGAAATTCTATGCTTTAAGGGCTAAGCAACCTCTGTCCAATTGATTTTCCTCCTCAGATGTTAATTTGCTAGAAGTTATGGTAGACACCACTGAATGTGATGCTATCTATATCCTTAATCACTATTTGCCTATATAGTTATAAAATACTGTCACATTAGAAAAGAACAGAACAGAAAAACAGAGTTGGAAGAGACCTTCAAGTCCAACCCCATGATCAGGCAGGAAACCCTATACCTATTCAGACAAATGGTTGTCCAATCTCTTCTTAAAAATTTCCAATGTTGGAGCATCCACAACTTCTGGAGGCAAGTTGTTCCACTGATTAATTGTTCTAACTGTTGGGAAATTTCTCCTTAGTTCTGAGTTGCTTCTCTCCTTGATTAGTTTCTATTCATTGCTTCTTGTCCTGCCCTCAGGTGCTTTGGAGAATAGGTTGACTCTCTCTTCTTTGTGGCTATCCTTTAGATATTGGAACACTGCTATCATGTCACTCCTAGTCTTTTTTATTATTATTAAACTAGACATACCCAATTCCAGAAACCGTTATTTATATGTTTTAGCCTCTAGTCACCTAATCATCTTTGTTTACCATTAATAAAGGTGTAATAGGGAAATATCTGCTAATGCCATTTGCCCTCTCAGAATTAAATATATTAGACCATTTATACATTCTTGGCATGAAGTGTTTACTTTGGTTTTTTGCAAAGTTCCTAAACATACTGCTTACATGCTTACTTTCTGTACTTGTCTGAGAAGTGTGAAGGTAGTCCAAAGGAAACTTCTTCAAACTGATATCTTACATTGGTGTGTGGACAACAATTTTAGAATTGGTTATCCTTGACCAAGCTGGCTAGGGAACCTGAAGAATACAAGATAGTTTAATGAACTTGTGGATAGAGAAGGATACTATCCATATTTTACTGCCTTCCTCTAACATGTATTCACTCCCAACAGAATACACTTCTTATATCTATTAATGGTCCCAATCTTAAATTAGTTTTGATGTTTATTAAATGAAGACCTCATTTTTCATTGAAATACGTGGCTATTTGGATTATTTTCCAGTAAAATCATTATTTTTCACTGGAAACAAGAAGGGACTTCCACACGTGTTGCAAGTATCTTCCTGTTATTAGTGAGTAATATGAATTTTGATATTATTATAACACAGGGAAAGCTATAAATTATAAGGTCATCAGATTTGGATTGCAAAAGCCTTATCATCCTTTGAATCTTTGTAGTCTATGTCTAGTAGCCATACTAAATTAGAAAGATGGACAACATGTGAAAAATAGGTATGCAGGTAGTTTTTCTAGATCAATTAGCAGTACTAGTGGGATATAACCTGCTGCCCAGAATATGCAGTATTCATACAGTATTTTGGATTGCAAAAACAGCAGGACCATCTAAAGTTTATAAATAAATAAAATAACAAATACATTTTTTACTGATAAAACAAGTAGAGTACAGTTTTATATATGTGAAACATATGAGTCCTATGTAATATTCTGTAAGGGATTCAGCAAAAGTAAGCTGATTGCAATAAAACCAAAGGGAGTATTTGTTCTAATTATGGCTGTAAAGCTGCAGAAACCACACTAGACCCCAAATTCACACATAAAAAAAAGGCTGAAGTTCCAGACGCTTGAAAAATATCTATGCTGTTGTAAACTGATAATGTATTTTAAGTCTCTGTTTGTATATACTGTATATAAATTGTCTGTCTTTCCAGGAGAAGAATTTAGAATAAAATGTGTATATCTTTGCACAGATATCTAAATAAATCATTTTCTTAAGCAGTCCTAAACAAGCAGGCTCCATGTATACCAGTCGTAGAGTATCAAACTGTTTTAGAAAGTTTATTGACTTAGAATAGTTCCAAACCAGTGCTTCACAACACTTCAGGGAATGACAATAGACTTGGTTGTTGTCACAGTTTTGTTTTGGAAAAAAATGTAATTTTTTCTAGAGTTGAGCTTGACTCCTAGTAACTTCCATGCTTATTTGGTTTTCCTGACAACAATATGTCAAATATATTCTAGATGCTCTATTCTTCTGGATCTTTTAAAAATCAACTAATCTAGCTAATCCCTATAGCAATGTAACTTGCTTTTTTGTATGTGAAGTTTTTCTATATCTAATGATAGTGCAGGACAAGGAATGATATGTTTGCTATTAATAAGATGCAAGGAAGGAGGTTGCACAGTCATTGGAACATTGTATGAGTTTCATGTTCAACGAAATCTCAACCAAAAATAAGATAATCATGGATATGTTTCAGACTATTTTACAATGACTGCTGGAGAAACATGCATATATTTTATCTAAAAACAAAAAGGGAATCATATTCAATGACTGTGAGAAGATATAATGGGACATAGTAATATTGAGCATCCTACTGATGCTCAATATTCTTGATTGTAATGTGTCAGGGGTCCTGGAGATTGTTTTATCAAGATCTCTGAGTATAGTTTGGGAACATGCATGGCAAACTCTTTTTCTAGCCATCGTCACCATGACTTCCTTGAATGAAGATTCATCCTTCCAAGGAGTCATGTTTCTTTAGTTATATATTGGATGAACAATTTGTCCTAAATCTTCCACCATTAATGAAACTTAAAAATGAAATTGAAAAACTATTGAATATAAATTATATCTTATCACTTACTCTAAATAAACTATTGTGATTTATGCAATAAGCAATGATTTAAATAAACCAAGGTATAGCGTAATGTTTGAATCAGCCAAAGATTTATTTTAACATCCAAACACTGCTGTTATCAAAGCAAGCTTATAGTAATTGGTAAACTACTATTGGTCGTATATATTATCATTTTCACATGTTTTAAAATTTTGTACAATAGGGTAAATTCATCAGAATCCATTTTGGGACTACAGGGAAGCTATCATCTGCTGATATTGAAATCTGTAAGTAGCATACTGTTTGTTATAACTATAAGCTTTATATTTCACATAAAACTTTCAACCTATTTTTCAGTTTAATTCTTCACTCTCCAACTAGATCTTTTAGAGAAATCCCGAGTTATTTTTCAACAACCAGGTGAAAGAGACTATCACATCTTCTATCAAATCTTGTCAGGAAAGAAAGCAGAGTTACAAGGTAATAAAAAGGAAAACCATGCTTTGTTGCATGTTATAAACATGCTTTGTGTGCATGAGGTAAAACTTATCCGAAAGTGAATGGATAGAGGAACTGAGAAAGAAAAATGTGAAATAACAGCCATTTCAATTAAATAATGGCAATAAAAAGTAAACAGATAATCTGAAAACTTTGAATAATTAAAATGACAATTTTCTATCTTCAAAATAAAGAGCAATCAACAATCTATTGAAATAATGCTAACATTATTTTATAGTTATTGATTTAAAATGATTATTTTATCTCATTATTGGCCATATTAACTCACAGACTCTTAGTCTGCAGAATGTTACTTTATCCAGCACTTTAAAATAGCACATATGGAGCTCATGTTAAATAACACTATATGTGTATAGAAGAAAAGAACTAAGTTTCTCTGTATAATTTGTGTTTAGAGTAGAAGATTGCACACACAGTGAAATCCTAGAATTCCACTATTGGACAAGGTAGACAATACTGTCTGTATGGATTCTAACAGCATGAAAATGAATTCTTATGTACCCCAGTTGATGTCTTGTATTGGGATTCTGCATATAATTCTGGATGAACAGAGAGCAAAACTATCATACTGATAATAAATACTTCATATAATTTGAAAGAGGATGTTCCTTTCCATGCACTTTTTTTACTTACATCTGTATTTTTATGTGACTACATCTGTTATTACACAAGACCATTGATTGCTAGTGCTTCGTGTAATATGGGCAAAGCTTCCCTTTATACATGTCCTAAATTTCTGCTTGGCAAAAGCAGTAATAATCTCATTTTTGTTCTTGTCATCCAGGCTGAGTGGACCATCTGCTAAATCCTTAACCAGTTAGCCTTTGCTATGGCCTAATTAAGGTAGATTAGAGGAACTGTTTCAAAATGATTTTCGGCTAACAGGATTTGGATGGAAATATTCCACTGTGAAAATGTACCTTCCATGGTTAATTTATTCTTATGCTATACTTACTGACCATGATTGTTGTATGGATAAACTGCTGTCCATACAACAGTTTCACTATTACAGTCGATTATTCACAGTCTGCACAGCTGCATGTGTGAAATGGCAGAGAATTTATTAGAAGTAATACTTTTGTAAGAGGTTCCAGTTGTTGACCACATTTTCTGATATCTTAATAAATTTGTGAAATAATCCTTTTGTCCTAATTTTTTTTTTTTTTTTTTTTGTGGTGGGAGAAGGGGGTGATATGCTTCTTGCCCCAATTTGGACATTTGAAATTACATTGCTTCTCCACATAACATCAAGACATTAAAATCAATTGAACACAATTTTGATGGGCTTTTGAAATAGGAGAAGCTGTGTAAATGTCTTTGTCTTTTATTATTTGTAGCAGAATTAGGATCAGCAAGCACATCTGCCTATGCTATTTGACTGAAAAGCTAAGCAGGGTGTAGGATATGAGTCTATTGATCATGTGGAGTTAATTGCATAAGCATAAGAATGCGTCATTAGATGGAACTATTCAGAGAGACTTGATTATCCAGGCAAATACAATAAAAAATAAAATAAAGTCAATTTATAGTTTCAGAATGGCTTGGAATTCAAGATCTTTTTAATCCTGCTGGAAATGTGTTCATGTTATCACTATTATGTTAGATTAATCTCTTTCTGAAGGACTAGGAATGTCAATGAAAGTTCTGTATAGGAACCTGGTTAATATAAGCAAAGAAGTGGACTAAGCCATTTTATAGTGATCAAGTGTGGGTTTATATATTTTTCAACTGAAGTCTCTTTTGTTTGGCACTAATACTGTTGGACTGCATTGAATTGGTGGAACATATTTCTGTGTAGATACATGCAGGGTTCCATAGTGATATAATTTAAAAATAGAATTGTACACATTTGTGTAGATCTAATTTCCTAGCAACTTTGAATAAGCTGTATGAATTGCACTTGTGCTATACTGTATTTTGACTTAATAGGAGCCCAGATCTTGAGAGAATAAACAGTTTTATCTTTTCCTCATTTGCAGATATGCTATTGGTGTCAACAAATCCATATGACTACCACTTCTGTTCACAAGGTGTTGTTACTGTGGATAATTTAGATGATGGGGAAGAGCTGATGGCAACTGATGTAAGACTTATTTTTTTATTAAAGTACAAAAGGGCATAAGTTGCTCAGTGAGAACAACAGCAATTTCCTTATTTGAGTCAGTTCAAACCAATCCATATAAATTGTCTCACTCAACATGATTGCTGACAATAAATATGCAATGAATCCAGGATCAGTATATCAAAAGTTGGGGCAATTTTTAGTATGCAAAATGGTCTTAACAGTGAGTCACTCTTAGCCTTCCTTTACATTATTTTAGAACAGGACTGTACAAATAAACCCATGCTATCTTTTTATTTGATTTATTTTGATTTGTCAATTGCTTACTAGATAATAGGTATAAGAATATACATAGTTATGAACACATGAAATGGGTACATATAAGAAAAATAAAAGAAACAATAGGACAGGGACAGTAGGCACGTTGGTGCACTTATGCATGCCCCCTACAGACCTCTTAGGAAAGGGGTGAAGTCACTAGTAGATAGTCTAAGGTTAAAGTTTTTGGGGTTTGGGGAACAAAGCACAGAGTCAGGTAGAGTATTCTAAACATTGACCACCCTGTTGCTGAAGTTGTATTTCCTGCAATCAAGTTTGGTGAGGTTAACCTTGAGTTTGTATCTATTGTGTGCTCTTGTGTTGTTATGGTTGAAGCTGAAGTATTCACTGACAGGTAAGTCATTGCAATGTATGATTTTATATATCATATTTAGATCAGACCAAAGACGGAGTAATTCAAGATTTTCTAGGTCTAGAATTTCAAGTCTGGTGGCATAAGGTATTCTGCAATGAGTAGAGGAGTGGAGAACTCTTTTTGTGAAATATTTCTGGACTTTCTCAACTGTGCTAATATTAGATACGTAATGTGGGTTCCAGACTGATGAGCTGTATTTGAGTATTGGTCTAGCAAATGTTTTGTATGCTCTAGTTAGTAGTGTGATACTACCAGAGAAAAAGCTACATAGGATTAGGTTAACAACTCTTAATGCCTTTTTGGCTATGTAGTTACAGTGGACTCTAGCACTTAGATCATTTGAGATGAGTATTCCAATGTCCTTTACAGAGCCTGGATCATCAACAAGGTCTTGACTATTCAGCTTGTATTTTATTTTCTGATATTTTTTGCCAATATGTAAGATAGAGCATTTATTTGTTGAGATTTGAAGTTGCCATTTGTTTGACCATTCTGATACATAGTCAAAATCTTTTTGAAGGGTAGTAGTATTGTCTGTGGTATTGAACAGCTTTACATCATCAGCGAAGAGAATGCAGTTGCTCTTAATATGATCACAGAGGTCATTTATGTAGAGTATGAAGAGAGTTGGTTCTAGAACACTGCCTTGGGGGACACCACTATTGACAGGTATAGAATTTGATAGGACACTCCCAATTTTGACCATTTGTTGTCTGTTTGACAGGAATGTTTCTATCTAGTTATGCAGTTGTCCCGGGATACCATAAGATTTTAGTTTTAGGAGTAGTCTGTCATGTACCACTGAATCAAAGTCTTTACAGAAGTCTATGTAGATTGTGTCTATTGTTTTGCCCTGATCGAGTTTTGTAGTCCATATGTTTTTACAGTGTAAGAGTTGCAGATTACAGGATAGTTTTTTTCTGAAACCAAATTGTTTATTAAAGAGTAGGTTGTTTGTCTCTAAGTGGAGGATAATGGATTGGTTAATAATTGATTCCATGACTTTACAGGTGACGTAGCATAAAGAGATTGGTCTGTAATTTTCAACTCAGCTGGGGTCTCCCTTTTTGAAGATGGGGATGACTGTGGCTTGTGACCATAGGTTAGGCAAGGAGCTGGTCTTGAAAGATTTTTCCAAGATTATGCTTCAAGGTTCTGCTATGGAAGTGGATAGCTTTTTTAAGAAGTAGGCACATATTCCGTCCGGTCCAATAGATAGAGATGGTTTTAGATTGCATAGTGCTTTTTCAACATTGTCTTCTGTAAAATTGATATGTATTAGATCATTGTAGTTTTCTGTGGTTTGGCTAGGAAATACTGGGCATAATCCATTGCTGTTTACAAATACTGAGGCAAAGAATGTGTTAAAGATGTTGGCTTTAATGGTGTCGTCGTTTACCATTAGGTCCTATCAGGGGTAGGATCTATTGACTTTCATAAATTGAGATAAAAATGTAGTTCTGCTGGATCAGATCAACACCCTTCAAAGATCAGAATTTTGATTCTTATACTGGTTAGCCAGCCAGTGTTTGCAAACAAGAGATGGAAACATAACAGTTTCCTGTTATTGCCTTGAAAATGGATATTTGAAGGCATGCTGCCCTCAGCAGTGTGAAGATAATACTGAATGTACAAGACAAATAGCCTTTTATAAACCTGTCTTAAATACATTTATCCAACCTCATTTTAAAGCTATTTAAGTTATCAATATTAAAATATTTTAATAAATATATATCCAGAATGTATTTAGGGAATCTGTTTCCCAATTTGAGCACTGTGCTCCCCCTAGAATTTGCCTAATTGTCTTTTCCAAAGCATTTTGTTAAATGATGTGCTTCTTTTAAATTTATTTTCCAAATCCCTTAATGTGCTCTTAATGTTACTAACTGTTCCATCAGGATCAGGAAATAGAACCTGAATAAGACTTTTCCAACAGTTTCAGCTTGAATTTTTAATACCAGAAGAAACACAGTAATACCAGCAGTGGTCTAAGACAATTTTGGAAAACAAAGTGGCATGTAACTCAGGAAACAAATAACAAAAGCATGTTTTTTTTTCTTTTTAAAATTTTTAACAGCAAGCCATGGATATTTTGGGTTTTGTTGCGGAAGAAAAATACGGTGCCTACAAACTCACTGGTGCAATTTTGCACTTTGGAGACATGAAATTTAAACAGAGACCCAGGGAAGAGCAGGCAGAAGCTGATGGCACAGAGAGTAAGTATTTTCTTTCTTATTTACCAACAGCATTCCTTTTCTTGTTTTGTAATATTACCGTTGTTTTTCCTCCCTAATATTATTCCCACATAGAAATCAAACTTCTTTGTGGGATTCTGTCTATAGACAGTATGCTGCAGTTGGACACAATCTGAACATATGGTCCATGGGAGTGGATTGATATATGATGCCCGGGAAAGAAAACAGCATAGCTTTCAAAGACTGAAAAACATTAATTACATAAAAAGTGCCCTGGATAATTTTCTCACTGTTTGCTGAGCACTTAACAGAGATTAAAATTCCCACACTTAACTCCTCACGCTCCCAATTCAAAATATTCTAAGATTCCAATCATTCCTTAATTAGAAAAAAAGTAATAAGTAGTTTTTGTGAGTGTTGCCTTACCCATCATTTACCTTTACCCAGCATTCTCCAACATACAATACAATATACAATAGGGTCTTCTCCAAGGCAAGGCGTATATTCTGTGAATCCTTTGGTTGATTCTCTTGTGCCATATATTGAAGCTGAATTTACAAATTACGCATACAAAGTGTACATGATACAAACCATGCTGTTTTGCTCACATTCACTTTTTACAAGACATAATTACCCATGTAAAATATGCAGAATCTGTGAAGACAATACTCTATTCATACTCGATAGGTAGTTTGTTCTGTAATCACTTCAGAATCAGCTATTGCCCCCAATCAGTAGCTAATTTTTACATGATAATGTCTTCCAGACAATAGTCTAAATTATGATCTTATTGTGCCCATTATCTACATTTTCAGAGTAATACCTGCAAAAATCACCTTGTATTCAATAGAATACACATTGAATTCTTTCTGAGCAATCTGTTTCTCAGTGTCATGAAAGAACTTCTAGGCATGCAGGTGATCAGATCACACTAATTAATTACCTATGGTGAGAGGTCTAAAGATGTATGTGGTCCCCAAAAGCTTCAGTGTAGTCCTCAATATGACTTCTCCTAGGTCAACTTTAATGGAACAGATGGCAGGTAATTAAATTAGGGCTGTGTGGTTCTTTGGATTAAATTTTGAAAAGTTACTGAGGGGGTGCAAATAGAGCAGCTGTCAGGTCTAATTAAGAATCAACACCTTTGAAAAATATCTCTCACTTTCCTTTTCTCTTGCCTTTGAACTGAAATGGACTCCTTGTGACTTTAGGGAAATCTGTCTATATATAACTAAAACTCTCACCTTTAACTGGGAAAAATGGTGCATCTTAGGACAATTTTTGAACCAAGATACCTCAAACAGGCTGACTTACAGAATGTGTCCAAAATCTGGGGCCCATGATTTTCAAGAATCCATATGTTTGGAGAAGTTGTGGCTGCTTCAGTGCTATTGGTTGCTGTGGTACTGCTACTGCAATCACATGATCTTCATTGGCAACATACCATGACAGTTTCCCAGCCAGTTTTGCAATACCTCACTCTTTGAACCCTACCTTTGAATTGTTTGAACCCTATCTTTGCTTTCTTTTGCAATGGTTATTCTACTTTATATGCAGGTGTTTATATTATATTTTTATATTTTGCAATTTTTTCCCCTAGTTCTTTCTTTTCTCTTCTGTCAGCAATGTCTTCTATACAGTTTTTTTTTTATCAGCAATTGTTAAGTCTGGGGTGTTATGTAACAGGTGATTGCCTGAATTCTATTGTCCCAGAGCATCTTAGCTTTTTAATTTTCTATTACTTTGTTTTGTGGTCCCACCAGCTCTTGCTTACAAGTTTATTACCGTGTTTCTCATATAATAAGGCCCAGTCTTATTTTTTTTT